TGTAGATCTTTTTTTGAAATATCAATAGTAATCGTGACTTGCAGATCTATCCATAAACGGATTTTTAACCATGCTCATTTTGCATAGGATAAGTACATACAAGCGAACAAGATGGTGGAAAGTAAAGTAAGTACACATAATGCGTTTGATGATATTTTCAGCAACAATAACGATCTTGTTATGAGCAAACATGTTCATTGTAAGTCCGAATATATTTGTGAACCATGGTGGACCCGAAAAATAATAAGTCATAGCATATAATAGAAATTTTTTTGCTATATGAGAGAATTTTAATTTAGATTCAGTAAATTGGTTGAAAATTATATATTTCGTTTAGCAATCTGTATGAAAAAATAAAAATATACTGTTAAACTCAACTATTTGAGAATTTTTTCTTGCCAAAAGTGATCAGCGTTCTGAGGTGCTGAAATGATGTTTATAAGATAATATTATTAATATAAAGAAAATCTTTAGAATGGGCTTATTGTAAATTTACAGGCTATTTGTAAACAGTTTCCAGAAAAGATCGAGAAAGTAAATTCATTTTTATATAGAGTAGCAGAATATATTATATATATCTTTATCCTATTATATCCTATTACTATATTTTTTACCGTGTCAATAAAACCAATTCTGGTAATCTATTACACACATAAATTCGAAAAGAAAAAATAATATATGAAATGCACGTACTTGGTCTGATCGAATTAATTCCTACACATATTGAGAATTCCCGAGTCAATACTATTTAAATCAAATACCTCCTTCACATCTTGTGTCTTCTTATTTATGAAGTTATATGGCTCTCATGAATTATGTGATCATATTTGAAATTGTAAATATTGCGTAGGATTTGTAGTGAATCTACCTTGAGTTTTGCGTCTGTTATTCTTAGATTTTCAAGACATGTCTTATATGCAATGACGTATTATATCAAAGTATTGAAACATTCAATTTTAACTTGGATAAGGGGGATGAGAATCAATCTGATGCCTATTGGGTTTTCGGTTTGCATTGTCAACTATGTAGAGAAAATCATGAGTTTGGATGGTAAGTAATAGTTAGATAATCAAGGCGATAAACATTATTATTTGCATTGCGATAAAATCAAAGACCATTCGATATTTTGTATCATGTAACTGATGAATTATAAAACTAGCGTCAAAAAAGGCGTAACAATATTTTATTGAATATATATATAAAACACACATATACATTACTCTCTCGTGACGCTACCACCACCTGCATCTTCTTAGAAGGTTCCTGGTTCACTACTAATGAATACCAATGTTAATTCTATTTCTCCTACTGTTTGATTTTCTGATTGCCCCGGATTTCGAATGACATTATCAAGAGATATTCTTACGTTATTAGCTAATAAATATGAACCATCTTCCCTTCTTTGAAATTGAAACAGAGCGGTGGAAATGAGAATGAGGTATATAAATGCAAAACAAAATCGCTTCCTTCTGAAACAATTAGAGAAAACATGCAACTTACAGTCTAATAGATTCTTCTTGATTTAGTGTTCCGTCATCTATTCTATTATCACCCCATCATGAACTGCGAGGTAAATTTGACCTAGTCCTCTCACTATGTAAAAAAGTATTATTGTTTAATCGTGTTTTTATCAGAGTATGTCCATACATTCCATAAATTAATAAAGTCAGGCCCTTAAAGGGCGACTCTACGAGTCATAGATGAATTTATTTACCGAATTTAACTGAAAGTTCTCCTTCCATTGTAGAATTTTTTTTTCGTTAAAAAAATGTAAGGGAAAAACTCCCCTCATAAATCCAGTTTATTTAACATTAACACGTGCGACTTCCGCGCAGTTTTCTCGTCGATTGACTCCTTTTGCGTCTAGCCGCGCCTGGTCTTTTCGGTTTTTGGCGCGATCAATGTTTTCACCATATTTAGCAAAAATTGTGTCGTACGGCAAATGTTTTGTGTTTTATAAAACAGGTTGCAATTGCATTGAAATTGAGTTGCGTTGAATTGAATTGCAAAGCAATGTGTTGCAATTG